TAAATTCGTGGCAACTATGGCTGCTTGAAGACCGCACGCGATACCTCTTGGACGCACCGTACAGGAGCGAACATGGAAGTTGTGACGTCATTGCCCATATTGTCGGCTCAATTGGTAAGTACAATTAAATATTTTTTTATTTATCACGTGGTCAGAGAACAAAACTTAACAGGTTAGGAAGAAAAAGTTTTTTTTTGGGGGGGGGGGGGTGTTATGCACCTGTAGGTGACAAAGGCTAATTAGCCCTTAGCAACACAAAGGTTAATGTACCTACTTTTTTTTTGTCAAATTTCTTATACAATTTTTTTATACTGTTTTACAATCCATTTTCTATTTTTTCGTACCCATTCTTAATGTGTGCAAGGTTGGTTATGTACGAAATGGACTCTTAGGACCTCCAGTGAGAGGCAGCCATCTGGAAAAAATTCCCAGAATGCCCTAGGGCTGCTGGCTGGGTTAGTACTGAGTGAACAACCATGGGTGGCGCACGCGCCTCTGGTTCCCAAACACTTGTCTAACGCGGTGTTGAAAGATAACGCTCTGTTGGTCAAATTCAAACTTTGTATATACAATATCCTATGTACAATATACAATAGATACAATATCCCACTCTGGCCCCAGACATCACTCGGTACCCCTACTCAAATCTCTGAATATGTTAGATATTAAGTCACTGCACATTCTCTTATGTGTATTATACATATATAAAATGCTGAACTGTAATGCCAATCCTGACCTCAAAAGCTTCATTGAAGGTTGTAACAGAACCCATGAGCACCACACCAGAAATAAATGCAGTTTTGATATTCCTAGAGTACGACTTAACCAAACTAGAAATGCTCTACAAATCAAGGGACCCAGAATGTGGAATGACCTTCCCAACCATGTTAAAGACTGTACCTCTCTCAACCAGTTTAAGATAAAAACGAAGCACTACCTAATAATATCCCTGTAACCTACCTTACCCCTCTATTGTTAATCCATGTCTGTTTTTTTTAACAACGCCGTTTGTCGAGCTAATTGTATTTGTGCTGCTTTTTCAGCCATGTTTCCCCCCTTTTTTATCTCTTTATTTGTTCTCAACACATTTTATTCTTTATACTCAATTAGTATTAAGATTTAGTCATTAATGTTTTTCATGCCCGAAGCGCTTTGCGTAATAGTGGCTTTAGGCATTGTATGTACTAGCTCTATCTATAATTCCATCAATCTTTGTAAAATCTCTTGTATGTATGTACCTTACCTAAATAAACATTTATTTATTTATTATTACTTATTGTTTGAAGAACATAAGGGTCATAATATTAGTGAAGCTAGGCACAATAATGACCTAACACAAAGGTCGGATGCAAGTAATACAGCACCTATGAGGACAATATAGCGAGCATATCCAATTGTAGCTCTGAGCACCATCCTTGCTCACCTATGCTATGCTATCTCCAATTTATTTAGATGATACATAGATGAATCGTTTTCTGCGTTCAGTGATGATGCATCTGATACAAATACCATAGATAAACAGTGTTAGCAGCTTCCATGTTGGTGTTTTCCATAGATATTTTCAAGAATAGCTGAATCTCTTCTTGACTGATGAACACTCTTTGAGCCTGACAATCTCTTCCTGTGCGGGACCTTACAAAGCGATCTTTTCACGACTACCTTACAAATTGATCTTTTCCTATAATCTTTTCAAGACTACCTTTCATTTTACAAGCTTGGCTACATACCAGCTACAAGTACTAATGCCAAGGGTGTACGTGAGTGCATTATTTGCAAGCACACAGAATGAAGAAACGAGAAGCGAAAATCTATCTGTACCTGGTGCGACGAGAGCGAAGTCGTGCTGTGTACCATGGACTACTTCGTTGATTATTACTCACTTCCGAAGTACTGAGTGTGTAATACAGTGTGTTACTGTGTAAATAGTGTGTGAAACTACATATTGTAATTTTAGTGAATTTTTAACAAGTAATAGAACAGTAACAGTAACATAAATACAACAGTAACATTAACAGTAAACATTTATTGTGCACACATTACTGGCACATGTATCACAGTTCCATGGAACATTATGAACATTCTACTGTATACATATTGTAAAGACACCAATATGCATCATATACGATAAAAAAACAAATAAAACCGCATTGGAAATACATAGAACAAATAATTGAAAATATATTTGTGGCAACATCCGGTGCTTGAATGGCCTGCGCGACCATGTCTGGGCGAGTCACGCACGGGCGACCAGGCCCTGATGACGTCACAGCACACCTTATCCACATCCCTCAACCAAAGTAAGTGGAATTTGGTATTTATTTTTACATAGACATGTTCAGGGAAGGGAATTTATCATTTTACGAAGAAAAAAGAATTTTCTGGGAACACTTTATTTCATGCGCACAGGGAGAATTTCACAATAAACTCGGCACAGCACGGTAGTTAAGGATCTGCCCGAAATGCTATGCATGCTAGTGGCTTTACAAGAATGTCAAACTTCAAGTCTCTGTACTCTCAAACCCAATGTACCTTCATGTATATAAATAAATAAATAAATAAATAAATAAATAAAATAAATAAATAAATAAATAAATAAGGGCACTCCTCAGGCTCCTCCTCAACCCTGAAAGTCTGCCACAAAGGTTTTGGGGCGGAGCCAAAATCCTCACCCAATACACGAGACAGGAAATCATCCTCCCAAGGAGAAGGCTCAGGGTAAGGGGCAGTTGTGAAGGTAAGTGCACCCGTTGATGTGGGTGGGTTCACCCCCTGGAGGAGGTTGAGCTACACCTCGAGCTAAACCCTGACGACTCCGAAACCCTTCGATGTTTCGGAGCCGGAACCAGATGAAGACCAGAAGGCAGGTGAACCAAATCCACAGGGAAAGGAATAGGAGGCACCAAATTAGCCCTTTTATGCTAAGGGTTTTGGTGTTTATTTTTGATGATTTGAATATTGACTTATAACTATGGGCGACTGTGTTTTTAACATTATTTTAACTAACATATAATTATACTTCACCCACAACGTCAAGCTACCTAACCTAGTTCAACCCAACCCATCCCAGCCTCTCACTCTGCAGGAGGTACAGCCAGCCAGGAGGTGGAGAACATTGATGATCTCCCAGGTGGAGATCATCAACACCTCACAAGACTTAGGGTCATAGATGTCACCGACCCAACAGGCAGCAAGATGGGGACAAAGAATAATAGTCATCCTGTAGGAAAGACAATGAACACAATTCAGTCTCGCACACAGCATAAGCAAGCTCAGTGGGCCAAGCTATACTGACCACTTTAGAGATCCACAGGGAATTCCCAGGGCCTGAAAGACAGTAACAAAACTGACACCCAAGGCACTAGGGCCACTCACTGAAAGAGCATACCCCCAATCACAGCCAAAACCACTGGGCTATGAGTGGCAACCATGGCAGGCCATGTAAACAAGCGCACAAGCCCCAGTGCACCCTAACACAATTAACAAATGCCTCTAGCCAACAGCCCAAACAGAGGAATAAAAAATCCTTGAGGAGCACAAGGTAAGGTGCCCCACCCTGGTGGTCAGACCTCTAGGGGGCAAACCCCCCAAACACACCAGAGAAGGGAACTCTGATTATGGAAAGGTAGCATTAGCGGGTACACAGAAGAAAACCCTGAGTGCATGCATCTCAAAATGCCAAGAGAGCCATGCCCATACAAAAAGCTGGAATGGAAACATGCACGTAAAGCCTATACCAAGAAAAGAAACCATGAACAAAGCAAATGGCCCCTGCAGGACAAAGTCCAAGAATGGCCTGCACTTCATTTTGAAGCAACAAGGCTTGCATGCAATCTGACAGACTAGTAGTACTACAAGCTGTACTGACAAGTAGGGCATCACCAAGAGAACCGAGATACTGAGGCAACCGAAGACTGAAGCTGGGCCACACAGTGGTGGCAATCAATAATAACAAGTTGCAAGCTAGTTTGAATGAATCCCTTGTTATGTGTTAATTGGTTGCATAGTTGTTTGGTGGTTTTGAGACTTAGCTATAAGCTGTGCTGACTTTCTGGAGGCCTGTTGTGTGGTGGAATGCTGTCACTCACTCCCTGTGCCTCTGAGGGGGCCAGGTTCTGGCTATAGTGTCCCTAGTAGGCTAAACAGAGCTTCCATGACTGATTTGACCCTTTATTATGTAGCAATCTCAGTAAGATAACATTAGCGAGCCACTGGGGGGGGGGGGGGTTCTTTCCAGAAATAAATGTTTTCTTCCAGCAAAATGTTCATACAATTATACTGTACATTGCTTGTTTTAATTTAGTAGTTACACAACTTTACAGTGACTTCGGTTAAGAAAAATAATAAAATTATTAAAGTTCACATATTTACATTTACTTCACTTCACTAATTGAAACAAGATTATATCACCTGAAAATTATTGTAATAAGATGACTTCTGATGCAGCTCACTCAAAACAGATTGTATCATTATAATAACTAAAATTATAGCAGACATTTCTGTGTTCATTACAAAACTGTGACTATAATATTTACTGTTCATTGACACAAACTACCCAAATATTCTTACCTAAAAAAACTGTATTGGTGATTAGTTATATTACAGCTACAATATGAAAGATTAATGAACATAAAAAATAAATTTTGTAAATATCGATGGAGGTATAAAAATTAGCTGTTACTGGTATACATTGGTTAATTGCATACACCAGTTAATGGCATACACAGGTTAATGGCATACACTGGTTAATGACGTACACTGGTTAATAATACTGTATACAACATTACTGCACCTCTGTCTAACCTCTTTACCTTCCAACACTGCAATGCTCTCCTTCTTGTGATTATTTAAAGTTTTTAATGTTTGATTTCAACTAAATTCAAAATTTTTTAATTTATTATTAGATTTTTTAAATGTGATATTTAATACATATTGCATTAAATTAGTAATGTTTATACTCCTACTTCTAAATTAAACATGCAACAGGCAGCATTGTGACTTACCATATTTGCTCCTCTCAATCTCTTCAGCGAAGAACTTCTCAATCTTTTCAGCAAAGTGTTTTTTAATGCAAAAGATGATGCCAATGCAGCCCATGACAATAGCCACAGTCATAAGGCCAAGCCAGAAGGGCTCCTCAAACATCCTTTCTGAGAGTGGCTTGAATGGGATCCTCAGCATTCTGTGTTCACAGCGTTCTCCTGTAAATGTCCATATGAGGATTACTCCTCCTTAGGAAAGTATATGTCAAATCTGGTCAAAGCATATTACAGACCCCTGAATTTGTGGTTAGTACTTTGGGGCAACTCTGTAGGGTTCATGAACCCCTACTTGCCTGTAATGGCAAGTATTGTAGTTGCCCTCTGCTATGCCTATTTCAAGGGGCAAACCCTTAGACCAACACTGCACAGTCTTTCACAAGAGCTGTCAAAAATGCACTCCTCCATCTTACTGTCACTCTCTGGTTAGATCTAACCATTTTCCCAGTTCAAAATGAAGGGCTTGAACACCAGCTTAACTTTGAAAGCAGTCTATAGAATTCCTAACACTGATGTAGTTGAATTTAACTCCTATCTTCAAAACTTAATTTTAAGAAACAAGCTTAACAAAAATAAACTAATATTAACTAATTAATTAAAAAACCAGCGTTGAATGTAATGAAACCCCATTTCTTGAGCTCCAGGGGCTCCTTGGAGCTATCAGATTGATACACACTATATTAGTCTGGGGCATCTGTCAATTGGAGTTCTGCCTAACGGGGACCATGAGCCAGAACCTGACCCCCCCCCCCACTCTCAGAGAGGCACGGGGACTAATGGCTTATGGAAACCCCCATGTGTTTGGGAGGATTCCGTGTCTGCCATTGACTGGGGTTAAGTAACCCAGAAAAGTAGGCATAACAAAACAAACACAACCTGGTAAAAAATTGCAACTGAAGACCGAACAGAGCGACATAACTCCCAAAAAATCAGCGTTGAATGTAATGAAACACCATTTTTTGGGAGTGACCCGGAGGCTCCCCAGGGCTATCCAGGCTGATATGCTAATGTCAAACTTTGGCATCAGTCATGTGTACGGAGTTCTTTGGGACTACCAGTGCCAGTATTGGACCTATTCATACAAGTGAAGGTTCTTACACAGAGGATGATAAAGAAATTAGTGAAATCCTAAAAAAGCAGTATGAGGACATATTCAGCACTCCAATAAACATGAAAGTGGAAGATCTAGACAATTTCTTTATGCGGGATATCCAAACCCCTGTAAATATAACTGATATCAACACGAGCGTACTAGACTTTGAAAGAGAAATTGAAAACATGCCCATGCACTCAGCTCCGGGTCCAGATTCATGGAATTCAATATTTATAAAGAAATGCAAAGTGCCAGTAGCACAGGCACTCGGTATAGTGTGGAGGAAGAGTTTGGACACAGGGGAGATACCAGATGCACTTAAAGTAGCAGACATAGCCCCTCTACACAAGGGAGGGAGCAAAGCATTGGCAAAGAATTATAGACCAGTTGCACTAACATTGCACATAATAATGAAAAACTTCAAGCAGATATTAATAAAGTTTTCGAATGGGCAACAGAAAATAACATGATGTTTAACCCTTAAACTGCGAATGGCATATATATACACCATGTGTAACATGTACCACAGTGAACATGGCATATATACACGCCATAGGGTGCCAGGTATGATTCAAATGGCCTGCGGCTACACGGGGTTCACACTAGCTTCCTTAGGGCTCTTGTAAACAGACTCCATTTAACAAAAAAATCGTAGGCGATATTCTCTGGTGTGAGAGCCACAGTACTGTTGGAGCAACCAAGGTTGGCACACGCAGCATGAGCGAACAGCATTGCTGTTCAGCTTGTGACCACAGCATCGCCGAAAAATGTCAAAATAAATATATAATTGTTATTATTTAGCGATGACAATATTACAGATGACCCATGACTGTGATATAAATAACCAGGGTTGTGATATAAGCAGGATTGTTGTAATAATTAGCGCTGTGGGAGGAGTGATGCCGAGAGATGGAGGGAGACAGCATCGTTTACTGACTGTGTGGCTAGCTGTTATTGTTTGCATTCACCATACCAGGTCAGTGGTTCTCTATGGTGAACACAAATGTAGATACTTATATATAATGTGTGTATTAGTGTAATAACAGCAAAAGGATTATGCTGGGAGGAGCCATATGGGTGACGGAGGTGACGTCGTCTGCACGATTTGTCTAGCTGTTTAGAGGGTGGCCACTATGCTCTTTGGGCACACTACAAGCTTAGGTGTACAGTTACGGTGCATAAAACATGTAGATATTTATATATAATATGTGTATATAGGGTAATAACACTGCAAAAGGTATTGTTGGGGGAGAAAGTTTAGTGCGTGTGACCTTGAAAGAGTGAGGGAGCCACCAGCCGCCATCTGTGTATAGCGACGACTCTTAGTGCCTGAACTAACTATATCAGCTTAGCTGTACAGTTGTGGTGAACAAAATATATACATACTTATATATAACGTCTGTATATAGTGTAATAACACCACAAATGGTATTGTTGGGGGAGAAAGTTTAGTGCGTGTGTTGAGGGAGTGGCAGCGAGTGGCTGGCTGGTGTGTGGCGGTAACTCTTCGCTGCTTTTCGACTCTCAATACCAACTTAGTGGTTCGGTACGGTGACCAAAACATGCAGATACTTATATATAACCTGTGTATAGAGTGTAATAGCAGCAAAACTATTTGTTTATTGTTTTATAAACATAATTGAATCACTAATATGCACATCATACTTTTGAGTATAGCGATTATTCACCACTTTTATTATATAAATATATTACAATACACACTATTGAATAATATTACTGCAAAAAAACTAAGAAAAAATCAATCAGAAACATTGAAACAATTAGGCAATATCATCTTTGTGGCAACTCCCATCTGTCAGCGCGGGTGACGCTGACCGGGTCTGACGACCGCTCTGTCAACACCCATTTTTTGCCAGACTTCCTCGGTCAATTGCGCCCAAAATATGTCGCCTACGATTTTTTTTGTATTTTTTCCGTGCTCAGGGGACACAAATTAACATGTTTAGAAGACGAAAAAAAAATTTTGAATTTTTTTTTTCTTGCGCACAGGGGTGTAAATGTCCCAAGGACCCCTGAGCAGTGTAAGGGTTAAGAAGAGGTCACTATGGGGCACTTTGAAATTTTTTTAATGAGTGTAATTGGACAGAATTGTTGCCAGGCAGGGAAGTAAATGAAATGTATGCCAAATTTTTTAAAATATACGAGGAAGGCACACAAACATTCATACCAAAACAGAGAGGCAAGGCCAGAAAACAGGATTGGTTCGACAGAAATTGTGAGAGGGCCAGAGACCACAAGACACAAAAATGGAATCGGTATAGGAAGAGGCCAAACCCCCAAACATACCAGCGATACAAAGATGCGAAAAACAACTACACGGCAGTAAGGAGAGAGGCAGAAAGAAATTTTGAAAAAGGGATAGTGGATAAATGTAAAACAGAACCGGGCCTATTCTACAAATTCATAAACAACAAATTGCAGGTAAAGGATAATATCCAGAGGTTGAAAATGGGAAACAGATTCACGGAAAATGAAAAGGAAATGTGTGAAACCTTAAATGAAAAGTTCCAAAGTGTGTTTGTACAAAATGAAATCTTCAGAGAACCAGACACAATAAGAATTCCAGAGAACAACATAGAGTGGATAGAGGTGTCTAGAGATGAAGTGGAAAATATGCTAAAGGAGCTCAGTAAGAACAAAGCAGCTGGCCCAAATGGCATTTCACCATGGGTTCTGAGAGAATGTGCATCTGAGCTCAGCATTCCACTTCACCTGATCTTTTAGGCATCCCTGTGTACAGGAATCATAGCAGACGTGTGGAAACAGGCTAACATAGTTCCAATCTACAAAAGTGGCAGCAGGGAAGACCCCTCAATTATAGACTTGTATCATTGACAAGTGTAATAGTGAAAGTATTGGAAAAACTAATCAAAACTAAATGGGTAGAACACCTGGAGAGAAATGATATAATATCAGACAGACAGTATGGTTTTCGATCTGGAAGATCCTGTGTATCGAATTTACTCAGTTTCTATGATCGAGCCACAGAGATATTACAGGAAAGAGATGGTTGGGTTGACTGCATCTATCTGGACCTAAAAAAGGCTTTTGACAGAGTTCCACATAAGAGGTTGTTCTGGAAACTGGAAAATATTGGAGGGGTGACAGGCAAGCTTCTAACATGGATGAAAAATTTTCCTTCTGATAGAAAAATGAGGGCAGTAATCAGAGGCAATGTATCGGAATGGAGAAATGTCACAAGTGGAGTACCACAGGGTTCAGTTCTTGCACCAGTGATGTTTATTGTCTACATAAATGATCTATCAGTTGGTATACAGAATTATATGAACATGTTTGCTGATGATGCTAAGATAATAGGAAGGATAAGAAATTTAGAGGATTGTCATGCCCTTCAAGAAGACCTGGACAAAATAAGTATATGGAGCACCACTTGGCAAATGGAATTTAATGTTAATAAATGTCATGTTATAGAATGTGGAATAGGAGAACATAGACCCCACACAATCTATATATTATGTGAGAAATCTTTAAAGAATTTTGATAGAGAAAGAGATCTAGGGGTGGTTCTCGATAGACAACTATCACCTGAGGACCACAAAGAATATTGTGCAGGGAGCCTATGCTATGCTTTCTAACTTCAGAATTGCTTTTAAATACATGGATGGCAATATACTAAAGAAATTGTTCATGACTTTTGTTAGGCCAAAGCTAGAATATGCAGCAGTTGTGTGGTGCCCATATCTTAAGAAGCACATCAATAAACTGGAAAAGGTGCAAAGACATGCTACTAAGTGGCTCCCAGAACTGAGGGGCAAGAGCTACAAGGAGAGGTTAGAAGCATTAAATATGCCAAAACTAAAAGACAGAAGAAAAAGAGGTGATATGATCACTACGTACAAAATAGTAACAGGAATTGATAAAATCGACAGGGAAGATTTCCTGAGACCTGGAACTTCAAGAACAAGAGGTCATAGATCTAAACTAGCTAAACACAGATGCCAAAGAAATATAAGAAATATCACCTTCGCAAATAGAATGGTAGACGGTTGGAACAAGTTAAGTGAGAAGGTGGTGGAGGCCAAGACCGTCAGTAGTTTCAAAGCGTTATATGACAAAGAGTGCTGGGAAGACGGGACACCACGAGCATAGCTCTCATCCTGTAACTACACTTAGGTAATTACACAGTACACAGACACTGTACCCTATATTGTGAGGTACTAGATACCCTCACCTCGTTGAGACAACAGTACTGGCTTCCTCAAGGTCACCAGACTGTAAAGTCCATTCTCAAATCCAGTGTAATCTGCCGGAGGTATGACGCTCAGGTGTGTCCTTATCCAAGACATCCACCACTCCCTAAGGAACGAGTTGTCCACCTTCATCCTTTCTTTGTCTAGGATTAATCATTAGGGCACAGGACAACAACACCCACAAGGGGTAAGCCTCATTATTATAACAATTTAAGTTCATGTACAACACTTGTACATATATGGAGTCATCAGATATTATGGTGTAATACTTTGACAGGCCAGTGTGACCATAGACAGAGGTGCCATAGGCACAATCAGAGAGCACTGTATAAACATCAGAGATCCGCGGTTGTTCAACTTCCTCCCAGCGACTATAAGAAATATTGCCGGAACAACCGTGTACATCTTCAAGAGAAAACTGGACGGTTTTCTAAGAGAAGTTCCGGATCAGCCAGGCTGTGGTGGGTACGTGGCCCTGCGGGCCACTCCAAGCAACAGCCTGGTGGACCAAACTCTCACAAGTCGAGCCTGGCCTTGGGCCGGGCTTGGGGAGTAGAAGAACTCCCAGAACCCCATCAACCAGGTATCAACCAGGTATCACATGAGAAATTAGTTGAGCTGTACCATCCCATGACCCATGGTCACCATTAACACACATCCAAGACAGACCACATGTGGCAAACCAAGTCCGATGCTGGAGGATGAGCTCTCACACTACTGAAACAGCTGAGGCCAATTTAAATCTTTAACTAAGGTAGTGTATATAACCCATTAACAATTAAAGCTACCATTTAATTACAGTAAGCATAAAATGTGAAACCCCCCAAAATGTGTGAAGTGAAGTTTACTTGTGACAATAAATTATAAAATACAGTCCACTTGTAAGTAATGAATACAATTAAATACAATTTTTTGAATTAATAATCAAATCAATCACCAGTATATTTCCCCACAGTGTTTACTGATTGAACCTATGACACCTCTTGACATGAATCCATTGTAATTAATGATAAATTTGTTTTTTCAAATACCTTTTAATTCCTAAACCGTTTCAACTGTGATCTGCAATTTCCTCCTGTGCTCCAATTGCTACATATGATTTTCCCATTTGATTTGTAATTATTTTTATTCAGCACCACCTCTATGTAATACTTTTAAACAGCTGTGCTGTTAAGGATTGATTGTAACCAACAATACAAAAATCTCCAATAATACACACCTTCAACATTAGACAATACTTTTCATTATGTAGTATGAGAGGTAGAGAGGATGATATGGCTATTCACTAACCTTCCCACCAGGCATGGCATTGGCACTTAAAGGTATGATTACCAGGAGTGCAGGCACCACGGCTCTGACATGGGTCACCATCACATGGGGACACCCGATCTTGGCAGCGGAGTCCACCATAACCCCGCTCACATACACAGATGTATCCATTAGGCCCTCCAGAGTGACATTGACCCCAGAGGCATGGAGACATCTCACACCACCTCACCTGAAACCCAGTAGTATTTAGTTGTACCACCAGAGGTCAGGATTATTCTAGTGTATGGACAATGATTCAACACAAGTTGCCTTACCTTGGTTATGAAAAGGTCATTACACATGGCAGAAAAAGAGAAGTTAAAATAAATATGAACAAGGGTGATAAAGTAGAGTGACCTGTCTCCTATGATGGCACAATTCAATATTTTTTTTTTAAATATTTGAACGAATACAACATCTAATGATAATGCATGGAAATATAAAACAAATTACAGTAACACCTCTGCTTACGAATGCCCCTATTAACGAACTTTTCAGGTTACGAGCCCAATTTCTTCGTAAAATTTGAATCGGGTAACAAGCTTTGCCTCGTGAAACGAAGTTTGTTGATACGCATATGGCTGACTTAGAGCGTGGTGGCATGGCAATCGTGCTTCAGTTTACCAGTGCCTCCCGCCTAATGACAATCTCGCCTGAATTCTTTGTAAAGAATCACAGTTTTTTTTGGAGAGGGGGTGGGATTTTGGGGTATTTGAACATAAAAGTTGTAATTATATATTTATTTAGTTATTATTTTATTTATTTTTTTATATACAAGAAGGCACATTGGGATTGTGAGGATGCATAGCATAGTAATTACATTCTTGGAAAGCCACTAGTATGCACAGCGTTTCGGGCAGGTCCTTAATCTAAGACACTTATAAGTAGGTAAATACTTGCAAAATTTATAAAAATGATAACAGTTACATAGCATGAAAAAAAATAAAAGATGAGAAAAAAATTGTAGGTATATTAAAGCACATAGGTAGCTCAGAATGATTGCAATGACAGCTTGAATGGTAGTTTAACAAAACTTAGCAGGCACAATACAGCATATGGCTAGCACATAAAAGAAGACAGCAATGAACACAATGATAAAGTTGTTTGGATTAAGTACATAAAGATTGGGTAACACTAGATACAGAGCAAATTTAAAGCTCAGTGTAGGAAACTACGAAGTTGAAATTAGGTACTTTTTGGTTTAGTTTTTAAATAAGGCAAAAGTTTGACAGCTCACTAGGAAATGAGTTCCATAGACTAGGTCCCTTAATTTGCATAGAGTGTTTACACAGATTAAGTTTGACCCTGGGGATATCAAAGAGATATTTATTTCTGGTGTGATGATAATGGGTCCTATTACATCTGTCCAGGGAGAGTTTCAGAGCATGGTTTGCATTTAAGAACAGGTTTTTGTAAATGTAGTTGACACAAGAGAATGTGTGAGGGGAGTTAATATTTAACAAGTAAAGGGATTTAAACAAGGGAGCTGAGTGTTGTCTGAAAGCAAAGTTAGTTAGTTATTCTGATAGCAGATTTTTGCTGGGTGATGATGGGCTTAAGGTGGTTTGCAGTGGTAGACCCCCATGCACAGATACCATAATTAAGATAGGGATAGATTAGTGCATAATATAGTGAGAGGAAAGCAGAGTTAGGAACATAATATCTTATTTTGGAGAGTATTCCAACTGTTTTAGAGACTTTCTTAGTTATGTGTTGAATGTGAGTGCTGAAGTTGAGTCTTTCTTGGTCTAGGAATAGGCCAAGAAACTTGCCATCATTTTTATTACTGATGTTAATGTCTATCTGTAGCTGAATTGCATTCGATGATTTGCTTCCAAATAAGATGTAGTAGGTCTTTTCTATGTTTAGTGTTAGTTTGTTAGCCGACATCCATAAGTATACTTTTTTTAATTCATTGTTCACAACATTAGTGTATGTGGGTTGGGGTCTGAATAGATGAGGGTAGTATCATCAGCAAACAATATAGGTTTAAGAATATTAGAGACATTAGGCAGATCATTGATATATATAAGAAATAGAAGAGGTCCCAAGATGCTGCCCTGTGGCACTCCAACAGTTATTGGTAGAGTGGAAGAGGTTGTATCATTGATGGTTACACATTGGTGTCTGTCACTAAGATAGGATCAATTATAGTCCAGGGCAAGGCCTCAGATTCCATAATGCTGGAGTTTAAGTAAAAGGTAGTTGAGATTAACCCTTACACTGCTCAGGGGTCCTGGGGACATTAACACCCGTGTGCAAGAAAAAAAAAAATTCAAAAACTTTTTTTCGTCTTCTAAACATGCTAATTTGTGTCCCCTGAGCACGGGAAAAAAAAAAAAAAATCGTAGGTGACATATTTTGGGCGTAATTGACCGAGGAAGTCTGGCAAAAAGTGGGCGTTGACAGAGCGGTCGTCAGACCCGGTCAGCGTCACCCGCGCTGACAGATGGGAGTTGCCACAAATATATTATTACCTAATTGTTTCAATGTCTCCGATTGATTTTTTCTTAGCTTTTTGCAGTAATATTATTCAATAGTGTGTATTGTAATATATTTATATAATAAAAGTGGTGAATAATCGCTATACTCAAAAGTATGATGTGCATATTAGTGATTCAATTATTATGTTTATAAAACAATAAACATATAGTTTTGCTGCTATACACACTATACACAGGTTATATACAAGTATCTGAATGTTTTGGTCACCATAACGAACTACTAAGTTGGTATTGATAGTCGAAAAGCAATGAAGAGTAACCGCCACACACCAGCCAGCCACTCGCTGCCACTCCCTCAACACACGCACTAAACTTTCTTCCCCAACAATACCATTTGTGGTGTTATTACACTATATACAGATGTTATATTATAAGTATGTATATATTTTGTTCACCACAACTGTACAGCTAAGCTGATATAGTTCAGGCACTAAGAGTCGTCGCTATACACAGATGGCGGCTGGCAGCTCCCTCACTCATTCAAGGTCACACGCACTAAACTTTCTCCCCCAACAATACTGTTTGCAGTGTTATTACCCTATATACACATATTATATATAAGTATCTACATATTTTATGCACCGTAACTGTACACCTAAGCTTGTAGTGCGCCCAAAGAGCATAGTGGCCACCCTCTAAACAGCTAGACAAGTCGTGCAGACGACGTCACCTCCGTCACCCATATGGCTCCTCCCAGCATAATCCTTTTGCTGTTATTACACTAATACACACATTATATATAAGTATCTACATTTGTGTTCACCATAGAGAACCACTGACCTGGTATGGTGAATGCAAACAATAACAGGTAGCCACACAGTCAGTAAACGATGCTGTCTCCCTCCGTCTCTCAGCATCACTCCTCCCACAGCGCTAATTAGTACAACAATCCTGCTATTATCACAACCCTGGTAATTCATATCAGTCATGGGACATCTGTAATATTGTCATCACTAAATAATAACAATTTTATATTTATTTTGACATTTTTCGGCGATGCTGTGGTCACAAGCTGAACAGCAATGCTGTTCGCTCATGCTGCGTGCGCCAGCCTTGGTTGCTCCAACAGTACTGTGCCTCTCACACCTGAGAATATTGCCCACGATTTTTTTTTTAAATGACATCTGTTTACAAGAGCCCTGAGGAAGCTACTGTGAACCCCGTGTAGCCGCGGGCCATTTGAATCGGGCCTGGCACCCTATGGCGTATATATACCAAACGTGCACCGTGGGACAAGTTACTCAGGGCGTATATATACGCCATGCACAGTTTAAGGGTTAACAGTATCAAAGGCTTTTCTTAGGTCAATGAAGAGTCCAATCGGAAACTCATTTTTGTCAAGGGCTGAGTAGATTACGTCAAGGAGACTAATGATTGCTTCATTGGTGCTCTTTAGGGACCGGAAGCCAAACTGGCAGGGGCTGAGTATGTCGAATTTTACGAGGTAGGAATAGGCCAGTTGTAGATAATTTTTTCAAATATTTTTTATAGAATGGGTAGATTTGATATTGGTCTATAATTATGTCCGCCGGATTACCTCCTTTATGGACTGGCGTAACTCTTGCTTTTTTAAGGATATCAGGGAAGGTGTGACACTATAGATTTGTTGAACAGTAGAGCTATGGGTTGTGCAAGTGCATGGGAGGCGCTCTTGTATACAATGGACGGAATTTCACTGGTGTTCCCTGGCTCAGTTTGTAGAGAGTGTATGATGGACACAACATCTCGCCATAGGTCCCTAGAAAGCCAGTGGTAAGGTTCAAGCCAAGAAAACACATGTGAGAATGACTATAGAGGAACAACAAGAGATCATTCGTAAACATGAAAATGGCATGAGAGTTGTTGATGTAGAGTAGTGGATGTCCCTTCCTCATTTATTAAGAAAATGTGTGCAGTATGGGAAGAATTGAAATGTTTTGCTGAAAAGTTTCACCCAAATCAAGCTGTAGCAGACCGTTGTCTTAACCTTTTTTTATGATAATGTGATGTATTTGTAACATTTATTAGATAGCAAATTCCTTGGCATTCTCATTGACCACAAGCTGAATTTCCAGGGACACATTCTAAATATATAAAAAAAAACCAGCGTTGAATGTAATGAAACGCCATTTTCTGGGCGAGACCTGGAGGCTCCCCGGAGCTTTACCAGGCTGATATGCTAATGTCAGACTTTGGTATCAGTCATGTGTATGGAGTTCTAGGGCCTACCGGGGACCACGGCCAGAACCTGGCCCCCTCAGAGAGGCAAGGGGAGCAATGGCCTATAGAAACCCCCGTGTGGTAGGAAGCATTCTATGTCTGCCATCGACTGGGTCAAGCATCCAGAGGTGTAAGCATTCCAAAACAAATCCCTATTCTGGTGAAAATTGCTACCTAAAGCCGAACTAGTGGATAGAACTCTTCAACAGAAAACATGGAAACTAGTATGACATCATACGGCACCGCGCCGCTGTCTGCGCAGCTCCCCCATCCCCGGGAGGGGGAAGGGGGAGCCCCAGACCTCCCACGCCGGCTATCGACCCATCAGTTCTGAGGCTGGATGTCAAAACACACGAAAAACCGCTGACCGGAGGGAGGGAGGGTTGCCGGGGAGCCTCCGGGTCTCACCCAGAAAATGGCGTTTCATTACATTCAACACTGGTTTTCTGGGGGGAGCCCCGTCGGCTCCCCGGAGCTAACTACCCAC